GAGCATACAGTGGAGTAAGGACAGCCTCTTTAATAAATGGTGCTGGGAAAATTGGACAGCTACTTGCAGAAAATGAAACTAGACCATCAACTTACACCCTACAAAAGAATAAACTCAAAATGGATAAAAGACTTAAATGTAACTCATGAATCCATAAAAATCCTAGAAGAGCCTGTAGGCAACAAAATTTCAGACATCATACGCAGCAGAATTTTTACTGACACATCATCTAAGAAACAAAGGACAAAATGAACACATGGGACTATATCAAACTCAAAAGCTTCTGCACAGCAAAAGATACAATCATCAAAATGAAAAGGCTAGCCACTGTATGGGAGAGCATAATTACCAATGATATATCAGATAAGGGGTTAATTTCCAATACATATAGAGTGCTTATACAACTCCACAAAAGAAAGACAAAGAATCACATTAAAAAATGGGTAGAGGAACTAAATAGACACCTCTCCAATCAGGACATACAAATGGCTAAGAAACATATGAAGAAATGCTCATCATCACTAATCATCAGAGAGATGCAAATTAAAACAACAATGAGGTATCACCTCACACCTGTCAGAATGGCCGCCATCAACAAATCATCAAACAACAAGTGTTGGCGAGGGTGTGGCAAAAAGGGGACTCTAGTGCACTGCTGGTGGGAATGCAGACTGGTGCAGCCACTATGGAAAACAATATGGTGTTACCTCAAAAAAGTAAAAATTGAACTTCTATTTGACCCAGTGATTTCACCTCTAGGAATATACCCTAAGAAGCCTCAAACACCAATTCTAAAAAATGTATGTACCCCAATGTTTGTAGCAGCACTATTTACAATCGCTAAGATCTGGAAACAGCCCAAGTGTCCATCAGTAGACGAATGGATAAAAAAGCTGTGGTACATATACATAATGGAGTACTATGCAGCTGTTAGAAAGAAAGATCTCTTGTCCCTTGAGACTACATGGAGGGACCTGGAAAGTATCATCCTAAGTGAGACAAGCCAAACAGAGAAAGACAAGTTTCATATGATCTCACTTATTTGTGGAATATAATGAACATAACAGTCTGAGGAATGGGGTAGTCCCAGAGATGCAGAAGTGGGGTACAGACTGACAATCCCCTAAAGAGGGGTGTGGTAGGGGGAGATAAACCACAGAACTTATATGCATGTATGCATGAACAGTGGACATGGACAACAAACTGGGGATAGGGCGGGGAGGGAGGAGGAGGGGGGAATCAGTGGGGGGAAAAGGAGAAACATCTGTAACAAAAATTAATTAATAAAAATGAATAAATAAAAAAAAAATCAAAATAAATAAATAAATAAATAAATCTACCTGGAAACCAATGAAAACAAACACACAACAGCACAAAATCTGTGGGATACAGCAAAAACAGTCCTGAGAAGGAAGTTCATGGCACTACAGGCCTACCTCGAGAAACAAGAAAAATTTCTAATTGACTATCCGATCCTTCAATTTAAAGAACTAGAAAGTAAAACAAAAACAAAAACCCAGGGCAAGTAGAAAAAAGAAATAGTCAGAGCAGAAAAAACAACATACAGACTAAAAAAACAATTCCAAAAATCGATGAAACAAAGAGCTGGTTCTTTGAAAAGATAAACAACATTGATGGACCCTTAGCCAGATTTACCAAGAAACAAAAGAGAAGAACCCAAATAAACAAAATCAGAAATGAAAGAGGAAAATTAACAACTGACCACAGAAATACAAAGAATTGTTTAAAAAATAGTATGAGCAAATTGGACAATCTAGGCGAAATGGCCAAATTTCTAGAATCACACAGTCTCCCAAAACTGAACCAGGAAGAGAGAAAATTTGAGCAGACCAATAACAACTAAGGAAATTTATAACGTAATCAAGAAATTCACAGCAAACAAAAGCCCCGGCCCACAGAGCAGTTTTACCAAACATTCTAAAGAGAACTAACACCCATTCTTCTCAAACCATTCCAAAAAATTCAAGAAGAAAGAAGACTTCCAAACTCATTTTATGAAGTAACGTACTCAATGGGCAAAAACTAAAAGCATTTCCCTTAAGAACAGGAACAAGACAGGGATACCCACTTTTGCCACTCTTATTTAACATACTATTGGAAGTCTTAGCCACAGCAATTAGATGTGAAGAAAAAACAAAAGGGATCCAAATTGGAAAAGAGCAAGTGAAATTGTCATTATTTGCAGATGACGTGATATTGTACATAGAAAACCCTAAATACTCCATCAATAATCGACTAGATTTAATAAATGAATTTGGCAATAGCAAGATACAAAATGAACATCAAGAAATTGATGGCATTCTTATATATCAATAATGAACTCACAGAAAGAGAAACTAAATTTAAAAAAAGTCCCATTTACCATAGCAGCAAAAAATTAAGATACCTAGGAATAAACTTAACCAAAACAGTAAAGGACCTGTTTGCAGAAAACCACAGGACATTGAAAAAAGAAATAAGCCCTGGTCAGTTTGGTTCAGCAGTTAGAGAGTTGGCCCGGGGACCAGGCACATACCTCCGTTGCAGTTTGTCCCCGGCCCTGGTTGGGGTCATGTGGGTGGTAACCACTCGATGTGTCTCTCTCACATCGATGTTTCTCTTTCTCTTTCTCCCTCATTCCTTCCTACTCTATATTCAAAAGCCTTGCACTCTTTGTTTGGAATTGAGCAGTTTCTTTGTTATAATGGCTTGAATACGTGGATTGATTACTCTGTCAGTTATCAAGAAATAGGTTGAATTTGACACAGGATATTTTAAACATAAGTTCAGGAGATATCATTCATTAACACGGGATAATTCCAGCATTTCACACTGAGGGAAAGGGTTTACTTTGAATTCTCTGCAGAAAACAGGTATCTACACCTTATGTTAATGTGCAAATCGGTACAAACAGTGAAATGTATGATGGATCCATGGCATGACACTGATTCATTTGGTAACACCTTTAGAGAATGTATGTAGAACTGAATAGGGAATAGATTTCCATGACCTGAACATTGCTCTAACCAAAATGTTTCATTTCTGCAGCCCAGCCTTTATTTGACATCAAGATGATTTGTAGACTCTTCCAGGCAAACAACTCATATCCAAGGCTAAAACGTAGTATGTTGAAAAGTTACCTCTTCATCTCATACAAATTGACTTTTCTTGTCATATAGGAAAGAAGGCAGACACCTGCATTTACTTACAACACTGTATAACTTTCCAATGTAAACTACGCCACGCATACCGGGCATAATTAGTGTGTAACTAATTGAAATTGATACCCAGGTCAACTGTACAAGTGCATTTTCTCTAGAACACTCCTCTTGTTCTAATTCACAGAGAAATGCAATGTGAAAAACCCATGGTATTGTCAGTGTCTTCAAATTTATGTATTTACTCCTTGGATGTACACATCAAATTTTTAAACTACATCACTTTAGATGTGTTCAGATTCATTGTTTCAAGAATGGCACATGTGTAACAGAAGTAGTTATCAATCTTTCCATTAATTCATTCTAGACCATATGTTGGTTCACTGTTCTGAGTAAGAATTATGCAAAACAAACTGCTACAGAAGAAACCATACTTATTCCAAGGATCGCCTTCAAAAATGGGCTTCAATATGATCCAATCTCTGAAACCATTACAAACACAGAACACAAAAAGGGATAACTTTTGATTCTACACATAAGTGTTCCCTGTACTAGTTGTTCTTTTCATGAGATGACTGGATCTCTCCACACAATGAGGAGAGTGTATATTAAAGTGTTTCACATTACTCTTGCCAAGATCTGTGCATGTCCTTAACCCAAATGGAAATATTCACTCATTCCAACATCTTTTTTACTAGAACATATATCTTTACACTTTCATTGCAAATGTACTTAACTTTCCAAGGTAAAACATGCCACTGAATGAATGTTGCCCCTGGCTCTCACAGAGTTTTGCCCATAATTCAGTATATCTAAGACTGCACCAGCAAGTCTTGTATCTCTCTGTATGGACCAAATAAAAGAAACTTACACTCCTAGGTTTTAGTGTGATTACACCTTAACAAATGGACATTTCTTAGATACTTAACCAAAAAAGCTTATGCTTTGAGAAGCCTCACGCTCTAGGCTTCATGGAAGTGAGTTTTGTGCAACTGAAGTGAAGAGTTCTAACACAGTTCATTTGGAATCCCACTTCTAGGAATATACCCTAAGAAGCCTGAAACACCAATCAGGAAGAATATATGTACCCCTATGTTCACTGAAGCACTATTTACAATCGCTAAGATCTGGAAACAGCCCATGTGTTCATCAATAGATGAGTGGATAAAAAAGCTGTGCTACATATACACAATGGAATACTAGGCAGCTGTAAGAAAGAAAGATCTCTTATCCTTTGAGACGACAAGGAGGAACTTGGAGAGTATTATGCTAAGAGAAATAGCCAATCAGAAAAAGGCAAATATCACATGCTCTCACTTATTTGTGAAATATAATGAACAAAATAGACCCAGAGACATAGAAGATACAGACTGACAAACCTCAGAGGAGGTGGCCCAAGGGGGAGGGAAGAGATATGCCAAAGAACTTATATGCATATATGCATAACCAATGGACATAGACAACAATGCTATGAGGGGTGGGAGTCAGGAATGGCAGGAAGGTGTCAAAGAGGGGAAAGAGAAACATTTGTAACAAAGTAAATTAATTATGGGAAAAGAATACTCATAAAAAATCAAAAAACAAAAAGAAACCCATAAGTAGTAAATCTAAAAGTTTGTCAACTACATAGCACCAAAGGTGTTTCATCAGATACTTAGTTCCACAAATTACTGTTATCATGGGGAACTGTAAACATCTTCAAATGAAGCGATGCTTATGGGTATTATAAAACAATTCAATCCAAGCTATAACCACTTACAGTAAAATTGACAATTTAAAAACTTTTCATGAGGTAACTGTAGGGTGAAGCTTAGGTAACAAAAGGCGCTGGTCCAAACTTACCTGGCTTTGCGAATGTGCAGCTGAGGGTAATGGCTATGTCTGTGACATATATGTACAGCAAAGTCCTCATCATATGTCAGACTCGGAATGTTCCCCACTTGGTCAAACACAGTTATAAGAGTTGAGCCTAAATCACAGAGACAAAGAAATGTGGCCGCGTTTTACCAAGGAATAACTAGAACTTCAAAACAAAATGTAGTTTCCATTCTAAATTGTGCTTTAATTGTTACAATCAAATAGGCACATGATACATTGTGGACCTAGAGACTATTCTTATTTCCCATTCACCAAAGCACCATTTGAAACATGAATGTACTATATTACCAACTAGGGACAGAGATAGTGGAGCAGACCTTACCTAGGCTCATGTAGGATGGCACTATAAGAAAGATGAAGTGCAGTTCTGGCACTGCCTTAAACACGGTTCTGGCAAGAGAAAGAAAGGGCAGGCCGAGTATTAATAACCAAGCAACCCCATTAGCTGACACCTGATTGAGACAAATGCTTTCACTAAACAAATGAGGTGTTCATACATCCATTTGCCCTCCTTTGCTCCCTGCCTACCAAGGCAAGATCATCTCCAAGGTGATTTTTCTTCTCTACTTTTCCTTGGATTCCAACAGCCCTTTTTCTATCTTTCTATGGAGGCAGAAAGAATAAAGGGTGCCATGTTCATGCAGCACACCAGAGTTCTGCAAATATTAACCTTTGACCTGGCATCTGGATGGTCTGGTGTGACATTTCAAGTGTGACTTGAAAGCTGAGGCAGGCCACCAATCCCAGATGTCTGTTCAGGCTAACAGCAACACATCACTGTAACCCAGTAGCCCCACTCACCATATTTCAGTGTGTCATATTATTCAGGATGCTTCTACAGTCATGTTAATAAAAATTTCTAAAGATAAGATTGAGGAAAGCTATATTTAGAAACATCCAAATTTGTGACTCTTTACTTACCCCAAATCCATGTTTTTAAATGACTGAACTACTCTTAGCCTCAAACGATGGCAGTTAAAGACGTATGATGAAGGATGTATCAATTCAAAGAAATATATTTTCATTCAGAAATATCACTACTATTCCATAAATGCTTTAATATAGCCATAAATTACAAGTAAATTTAACACCTCAAAGAGTTTCATGTCCTTTAAAAATATTTTAATATTACAGGCCCCCTATATCCACAAGTTCTATATGTATGGATTCAATCAACCACAGATCAAAAATATATTTTATAAAAGTGTTACATTGCTGCTGAAGTGTACAATGTAGTTAGGCCTACAATGGTTGCATCTGTACTGAACATGAACAGACTTTTTTTTCTTGTCATTATTCCCTAAACAAGAGTATAACAAATATTCATAAGAGTATAACAAATACAATTTCTATTGTACTAGGGTATTATAAGTAATCTAGAGATGATTTAAAGTTTATGTGAGATTTCTAGGAATATATCCTACGAAGCCTGAAACACCAATCAGAAAGAATATATACACCCCTATGTTCATAGCAGCACTATTTACAACTGCTAAGATCTGGAAACAGACCAGGTGTCAATCAACAGATGAATGGATAAAAAAGCTGCAATACATATACACAATGGAATACTGTATATGCAGCTGTAAGAAAGAAAGATATGTTATCCTTTGAGCTGACGTGGATGGACCTGGAAAGTACTATGTTAAGCAAAATAAGCCAATCAGAGAAAGACAAATATCATATGATCTCACTTATTTGTGGAATATAATGAACAAAATAAGCTGATGAACAAAATAGACTCAGAGACATAGAAGTAGGGTACAGACTGACAAACCTCAGAAATGGGAGATGGGGAAAAGGGAAGAGATAAACCAAAGAACTTATATGCATATATGCATAACCAATGAACATAGACAACAATGCTGTGGGAGGGGGGGATCAGGAGGAGGGTGTCAATGCGGAGGAAAGAAGAAACAACTGTAACAAAAATAAGTTAATAAAAAAATAAAGTATATATGAGGATTGCATAGATTACATGCAAATACTATGCCAGTTTATACAAAGGAATTGAGCACAGCAGATTTTGGTATCCACAGAGGTTCTAGAGCCAACCCCCTCAAGAGATGACTGTATCTATATGATCTCTTTCATGTCATTTTGGCATTAATGTTTCTGTCTATGGTGTTACTGCCAGCCCCCCAAGTCACCGTCTGCAAGGCCCCAGCCACTTACCGAATCATCTCTTTGCAGCAGCCAATAGAATACTCGTCCACGGCCACAAAGAGGTGCATGAACAATGTATTCAGAGGCTGCAGAAAAAAAAGAGGACATAATTAATGGCTGAGTAAGCATTCAGGCTAGAGCAGGGTGGGAGGTGGGAGGTGAGAGGTAAGAGGAGGGTTTGGGGGCAGTCACAGAAATAGAGCTGTGCTGTGTTTGTGGATGACATTTTGCATCTATAGTGATAAGACACCCAGGCAGTGTTCGAGCATTCTCTTGGACTCTGTTCACTGACTTCTGTCCTCCTGCTTCAGAATTATTCAAGGTAATAAAGACTGTAAATGAGTCCAGTGCAATTGGCTTTCCTTCCTGCCCCCACAAATGGGCTGTGGGCAGGGAGGCGCCTGCAGGGGAGTGAAATTGATTATTAACTCAATAGTCTCGTCCTGGGTGGAGTGGGGGGGATGGTTGTCTATGCCAAGCAAAAGACAATCACCCTTTCCCTGGGGCTCTTGAGTAAGCAGCTGCTGCTCTATTTAAGTGACAGGAGGGAAAGAGTCTCTTACGAATTTTAAGGATGGAAGGCAGATGCCACGTATGAACCCAATGGCTTGTTTTGTTCAACATTCCCAGAGTCAGAATCAAATGTTACTCTTGGATTCAGAAAACCTGGGAGATGAAAACTCATAGTAGCAAGATTCTAACATGACTTTCAGGTTAAATCTTTCAGGTTTTTAAAGAGCTATGTCTTGTAACTTCTGAAGATTTCTTACATGGCCTAAATAATGAACAGTTGTTCTATACATCCACACATCAGTCTGCTCAACTCCATACCCTTGTGTGTATGAGAAAATCTTCAAATTCTAGAGATAATGTGAGGTGGTTGACTAGTGAGGGTAGTGCTTGTACCTAGATCAGGACTGTCTGCATTTCTTGTTTTCTGAACAATTGTATAGATGGCCTTGGGTACCATCTACACATCCATGTGCCTCAGTCTCCTCTCCCGTCGGATGGCATGTGCCTTAGAACACTCAGAAAGAGCATTTATCAGGCATAAAATGGTTTGAGAAGTATCATGAGTTTGGTTCATGAGCTTTAAAACTCCCAAAAGTCAAATAACACAAACCCTAAAGCCCAGATGACAACAGCAGCAACAACAATGATACCAATGTAAGCACTTTCGGTGCATTAAGTCATCTAAATCCCATAGAGCCTTATTTAATATCTGCTTTACATTCCAAACAGGACTAGCCTTAAGAGTACATGGTTTATTACTTGGCTGATTTATCCCTCAAATTCTCTCTTCCATCAATAGTATTATAATTCAAAATTTGGTATTTAGCTTTGAGATAAAAATTATTATTTCAGTTGCAAATATCCCTGGGATAGGTAAATATATTAAACCTTAAGGATGTAGAACAATGCTCTCAAATAGAAAAATATTTTGAGTCACAAATGCAAGCCACATATGTAATTTCAAATTGCTAGTAGACATAGTTAAAAAGAGTAAAAATAAACAAGTGAAATTAATTTTTAATATTTTAACTAACCTAATATATTCAAGTTATCATTTTAATAAGTAATCAATATAAAAATTGTTAGAGATATTTTACACTATTTTTTTCTACTATTTGAAATCTGAAGTATATATTATACTTATAGCACATCTCAATTCAGACTAGCCACATTTCAAGTGCTCAGTAGTTACTTATGGCTGGACAGCCGAGCTCTATACTATTGGAGGAAGTAGTTTAAAAAGAAACAATCTTGAGAACAAGAAAAAGAACAAAGGAGAAAGAATGTCTGAGTAATGGTATTAATTTATAATTTTCACAAAGGTAAAAGTGTGATCCTAATGCAAATATAAAATGCATACACATCAGAGTTTTATTCAACCCATCAATTAATGAGATGACCAATAAAATAATAAAAATGATTCATTTCACTTGAGATGCTGGCTACTTTAGGCAATTTAATGAAAGAATATTTTAAAATATTATTGGGTATATACAAAATAGTTAATGTCCTACTGGGCCATAGCCAAAACCTTTGAGATTATCTCTTCCACTAGATAGAAATTATTTACATCTCAAATGGATAAACATCTACAAGTTAATCACTGTTCTTACAGAACTATAAAATAGCACAGTCAATAGACAGTCAATCAAAGTACAAGTATTGATTGAAAGGATCTTTCTGTACTATTTCTAAGTTTGAAATCATTTTCCTGACAATGGCAACTGGATGTACAAGGTGGTGAAGTAAAGAAGAGCATAGTGGACAAGGGGAAGGCACTATCCAGCTGAATATGTGCTGGATAATGTGCTGGTGTGTGTTTGCAGGCATGTATGCATGCATATGAACTCGCTCATGTTCTCAATTGACATCCCCCAGGGCCCTGGGGACACACTATTGAATTCCACTACAAGCAGGTGTACTGTCCAAAGTTGCAGCCTCTGGCTCTCCACAGAAACTGGGGCCAGACACTGGCCTGGCTCTGGCAGGCCAAGGGCAGGAAAAGCTCAGATGTACCAGCTATCAAGGCCCAACTCCCTCGGAACTGCTGACCTGGATGCTATTAGCCAACAGGTACCCACAGCTAGAAGACATCAAATGAACCAGAATCCAAAAAGGCACTTTAAAAATTATAGAGTGTGACAGAGATCTGAGGCTTTTTTCATTATTACTGAGGCAAATATGTAGATGGAAGGTGCTCTCCCAATATATCAAAGATTTGGATACAGATGCTTGGAGCACAGTGTGGAAACCTAGAAAGTAGTGACACTCCACTAATTCCTTGACTCCCACTCCTCAGCAGCAGAGTATGACTTGGGCCTGGCCAGCAACTGTCTGATCTTGCTATTACCTACCTTTTCTATCCCCACAGACCCACTTCTCCTCCCTACCAGATAACCTCATTTCTAACTGTCATGATGCCATATACTTTCTGTTGTGAGATTGGAACTGCTGAGTCTAAAACTGAAAAGACATATATGTAAGCACAGGACTTCCCTTCAAAATTAAGGCTGTTCTAATAAGCATGTGCATGCTTGCTTACTGTGCATGGTATTTCACTGTCAAGCTCCCGGAACACGGACACCCAGTCATCCTGTTTGGCCACATTCCAGTTGGGATAGTCCAGGAAGGTGGCCTGGGCCATGATCTCCTCCTTGTCATTATAGAGAGTGACAGCAAGGTTTGCCTTCTCCCTGTGGAAATGATCAAAATCGCACACACAAATAAGATTACTGAAAGTGAGATGAGGATATCATTTTCTCCCCATTTGCATACTGGAACTCAGCAACCACTGCATAAGGTATGATGATAACCATTGAAAGAGGTGGAAACAATGTGACAGCCAACTTTGGGAACATCTTTTAGGACATCTGGCACTATCAACAAAATTTTTACTGAAAACTATATTTCACTTTAAAGCCATTATATTCATGATATAAATTTTCCAATACCCTTCCCTTGGAGATTGGCTGGGAAAATTGTTTGACTGTAAAGTTTTCCCTGCTTGCTCCCTATTGCCAATACCACTGTGTTAGTCTAAGCACGTACAGTTAGCATGGCCAACTGTCCCAGTTTGACCAGGACTGATGTGCCCCGGACAGAGAACTGTCAGTACTACAACCAGAAAAATACTGGGAAAACTAGGATGAGTTGTTCACCTATGTGCAGCAGCATTCTTAACAATTTCTCCAAACCCTGAGCTAATTGATTCTTATGGAATCTGAGCATTAGCAGTATCACCTGATCTAACTGCAGTAATGGAACCCCTGAAGTGGTCTTGCTTAAGCTAATGGAATCCCACAAGTTAACAAAGACAAGGGAGGGGAAGTAGGTCTTCCAATTCTTCTGGTGACTTTCCCAAAGGGACGTCTTGATTGTCCCTCCCAACAGCTACCCTGTTGTGTGGCCTGTCACGACACCAAGAACATGACTTAAACACATTGAAATGCAATTTTCACTTTCTTAGCTGAGTGAAATCTACTGGTATCAAGTTGGAGGGGAAAAAAGTTCATGTTCCCTCAAAGAAGAAAAAAAAAAGTTATCTGTTCCTTATTAAGGGGACTAGATGAGAAGACAGCATATAACTGAAAGAGAAGAGACAATGGGGATAATAGAAAGTTATATATACTTTCCAGTTACATACCTATCATAAAATTATTTTTATTATTAGTTCAGTCAAAAATTAGAATGTACTCACAAGCAAGAAGAGAAAAAAATTATTTGAAATATCATCCTTAACACCACCTCCCATAGATAACCCTCTGTCAACATTTTGGTGTCTATCTCTCCAGAATTACCTTGGTTTGAGGGCAAAGTATATTGCCCTTGGTTTCAGAGTACATTGAAATGTACTTTGTGTGTTTTTTAAAATGAAATAGCACAACTCATACTGTTGGTAGCCCGTTTGTTTTTTTCCCATTTGACAGTATATTATTTTCCTAGAGCTGTTCACCAAAGAGCAGTTTCTCACACACATGTACTTTTTGTTCTAGTTTTTCTTTACTTTAAACCAAGTTCACTTTGGTTTAAGTAATTATATTTTAATAGAAAATTTACATCACTGTCATAAATGGAAAACCACTATGCCTTGCTAGAAATAGAGAATAACTATAAAAATAAAGACATAACATTTAAAACAAAAATGTCTTGTACACGTATCAAGTCAAATCACCTTAGGTACCACCAGAGATATGGGCAGTTTTGGGAAACATTGTGCTAAGGATATTGATCTCAGCACCTACAGCCACCATCCCCTCTCATAGGAAGTCACATACCACTGTCACAGGGGACTCCACCAAGGTTGCACCCAGTCCAAGGGCCCCACTAAAGCACTGACTATCATGGAAAAAAGCAGAAGACTAATGTCAGGTCCCAAGATTACAGCTTTCACACAAAGGGCTTAACAGCAGAAGAACACAGCACCCCCATCTCTCCAGGTGATTCACTGAAGCCCTACAGTGGCTTCCTCTAGCTCCTGGTCCTCTGGGCTCCCCTGCCCCAGGCTCCCAGAGCCATGACCTACAGTTTCATACTGAGAGTCCTCACTCAATTCAGATGAGAAAATACTCAGGATACAGGACTTCTCATATGTCAGCCATGATGATGGTGATGGTGGAGGAGAAAGCAGGCAAGGGCTGGCACAGGGCAACCACCATCCCCTCAGGGAAACAAGTGAAATGTGTTCCTGGAATCCCAATTTGAACTTGAAATGCATTTATCCATGGGAACCTAGAATGGCAGTTGTGTTCTGTAGTACAATTAGCAAAGTACTGTACCACACAGACATTATGGATTAAATAGGTTTTTGTGGGTTGGCCTGGAAAGCCAGCCACGAATAACTTTGTTTCAATGGGAAAATGCACTGCAATTTCCAAATGGCTGACTGCAAAAAGCAACTTCTGCAGCATGTATCCTTTGTATGTATAATTTGCACTTCGTATCACCTCTTAGCCATTAGGTCCTATATAAGGCAGGTAAAAATCACTGTAGGAGCAAAGAAGGGAGAGAAGAAAAACAGTAGAGGGAGAAGGTGTGTTTTTAAAGCTGGTTTATAATTATTCTTTATAATAAGCAAAATCGTAACCAAAGGAGCCATATTAAAATACACATGCATATATATTTCACACAGAATATGTTAAAGCTCAAAGATATTACCCACCAATATAAATCATAAGTCTTTTCATAGAGCAGTGTCTCACTTATTCAATTGGTTTAGGGAATTTTCCAAGTTCAGCCAAAACTCATTTTATTTAACTATAGTTGATAGAAACCTTAGTGAAAGTGTCCCCTTTTTCCTATTTGTTAAGCAGCACAAATGATACAACTCAGTGTTCTCTTTAAATCCAGTGCACACTGAACTGGAGCCACCAGGTCCCATCTCCCCCACTGCCCTGTGACAACTGCACTGGACAAGACTAATTCTGTTGGCCCTTTCCCCACTCATCTGCTATGCCCACTCTGCTCATTTTCTCCCCTAAAATTTAGCAGGGTTTTTAGGTGAGGTAAATTTTAGCCAGCAGTCAATAAAATGAAACTGAATAGATTAGAAAAGAAACCACCAGATTTAGAAATGCATGTAAAATAGGTCTGTAAGCCTCGAGATTGATCAGCATGGGGATAGGGAGTTACCTAAAATAAAAAATGAAAGACTATGAGCTGAGTAGCAGCTGCCTGGGGAGTTCAGGACATTAATGGAAATGTAAATTTACTTTTACTTCTGAAAAGATGCTGGTTTCTAAGGTTCATCACAATCTTCCGTTATAAGAATCCACTGAGATGGGGAAAATGTTTGCAGAGTAGTTTTGAGGCAGCTGATGATCATGCTAGGTGTGAAATACCTATTAGGTATCCAAACGTGACATCCACCAGGAAGGTGAAAAAATGAATTTGGAATCTAGGAGATTCTACCATAAATGTTAGATATTATTTTACATTTAAGTCTTAATTTCACCCAGAATTAATTTTTTTATATGCTATAGTTTGGTATTTACATTTATTCTGTTTTCGATACGGGTAACAAATTGCACCAGCACCATTTTGAATGTTACATCCTTTCCCCACTGGCTTTGTCATCATCACGTTTTAAAGCATGTATAGGTCTGTTTCTGGGATCTCTATCATGCCCCACTGGTCTTTTGTCAACTTCTTGACCATTACCACACTGGCCTAATTACTATACCTACAACAAGTCTTTAGTTGGACAAGCCTTCTCATCTGTTTTCTTCTTTCAGATTATTCTGGCCCTTTGCTCTCCCATATAAATTTACTATTATATTATCAACTTCAACAAATAATCCTGTTAGGAATTTGATTCAGGGAAGAATTAACTTCTTTATGATGTCTAAGAATGTGGTATAACTTTTCATTTATTTAGGTATTCCTTAATGTATTTCAATAAAGTTTGATAGTTTATCCCATAATGGGGTTGGAACTATTCTATCATTTTTTTTTACCCTTAGATATTTTATATTCTTTGGCATGAGTATAAATAGTATCTTCTTTTAAAATAATCCTAAGCATCTAATGCAATATATAAAAATGCAATTGTCTTTTGTTTAATGACTTAGTAGCCATTAACTTTAGTAACTTTAAACTTATGTATTAATTCTAATGATGTGTTTACATATTCCTTATGATTTTCTACATAGAGAATATATCACCTTCAAAAAATAAGTATTGTTTCTTCCTTTTGAATCCTAGCAGTTTTTATTTATTTTTCTTTTTTACTGTAATAGCTAGGATCTCCAGTTCAATGTTGAACAGAAGTCGGGACAACAGGCATCCTCACCCAGTTCCTTATAGTAAAAGGAATTCTTTTAATATTTTATCATTATTTATTATGTTTGTTAAACATTTTTATAGATGCCTTGAGCAGGTTATGGGAGTTCTCATATTCTTATTCTGTTAAGAGTTATTTAAGAATTGCCCTGGCCTGTTTGGCTCAGCAGTTGGGAGTGTTGGCCCACGGACTGGAGAGTCCCGGGTTCAGTTCCTGCTAAGGGCACATACCTTGGTTGCAGTTTGTCCCTGGCCCCAGTAGGGTTGTGTGGGTGGTAACCATTTGATGTGTCTCTCTGACATCAATATTTCTCTCTCTCTCTTCCTTCCTCTCCCCCTCCAGTTCTATCTGAAGATAAATGCAAAAATGTCCTCAGGTGAGGGGGAAAAAAGATTATGTAAGAATAAATGCTGAATTTTATCAAATGTTTTTCTTTATTGAGATGAGTATATTATTTTTCTTATTTAATCTGTTAATGTAGTGAATTAGATTAAATCAATTTTCAAATATTAAACCAACCTTGAATTCTGAGATCAATCAAATTTGATCAAGGTACATTATTGTTTTGGTATATTTCTATATTCCTTTCCTAATGTTTTGTTTTGAATTTTTGCATTTATATTCATAAACAAGATTGGATGTAATTTTCACCTCGTACTCTATGGGATATCAGCTGTTAACCTTCCTTTCTTATCTGTCCTTATCTGATTTTGATGTTACCATTATGCTACCTTCATAAACTGCCTTTCTGCTTCTAGGAAGTTCCATTCAGTTAGGATTTAACAAATTCTTGAATGTTTGGTACAACTGATTGTAAAGGCAGTTATGTTTGCTGTTTTATCAGTGGGAGGATTAAAAATTACCAATTCAATTTCTTTAATGGGTTTCTTTCACTTTTTAAGTTGACTTTAGAAA